ACCACCTGACTAACAGGAGGCCTTGAGTTCCAATCTCAGTACTCCTGTACACACACACACTAGTTATAGTTATTCAGGGTAAGTCATTATTCTAAGTACTTTACAGATTTTAATTCATTTGTTCCATACAACTGCTAAAATTTATGATTTCACACTTATGTGCACCTGTTAAGTCATGTTACATATTTAGTCATTTTCTTAACTGCCATTTTTCTGTCTTGCAGGGTCCTAATTTTTAAGAAATAACTAAAATTACTTAAGAAATATGTTCTTTATGAGTAAACAAAGGTAAATGATCATATCATTTTATTCACTCCGTCTCTCTTCAATTTCTGACCTATTTCTACATTCTCTTCCCAATTCTGGATATGCATGGGTTCTTGTTCAGTTCTGACAGGAACAAACAGTAGGATATTTTGTTTTATTTTTAATAACTGCCCACATGTTTACAATTCTGTGGATTATTCTGGACGAGCAATCAATTAGGCTAGTGTTTGCAGAGAAATCCAATTTGTATAAGAAAACAAGCAGCCAAGGATTTGCTGAAATGGGCAAAATATCTTTGATCTTAATTCAAAATGTTTCACTAGACCAGGGGAGGTAGCTATTTTATATTCCTAAACTTTCCTAAGAATGATAGCCATTACATTCTGTTCTTTTTACTCAAAGCCAAAAATTTTAGTTTTAACATAGACCATCCATTCTGCCTCCTGGCCTTTGTGTACACTGCTCCTTTGGCCAGGACCTCCCCACATGAACATCCACCCTCCTTCCACATCCAGCCCTAGCTCTACCAATCTTCCACCCTCTACATGCCACCTACACAGAGACACATTTGGCCTCCAGGACCGTTAAGTGTCCCTTCTGTACATAGCCAGAGACCAGCACTTAGCATTATTTCACTGCTTACTTCTTTTTCCCTAATTCAGTTAGAACTCATGCAGCAATTACTTTCTAACCTAATTAAAAAAATTGTGATCTTGGGCTTTAAAACAATTTAAAAAGCTGAAGAAAAATAATGATTTGAGCATTAAGTCTATAGTACTAGTGTGAATTAAATATCAATATCCCTGAGATGGTTACATCATTTGTAAGACTTTTTTCTTTTCTTTTTGGTGCTGGTCCAGGGCTTTGAACTCAGGACCAAGGAGCAGTCCCTTCTGTGCTCATGGATAGCAATATTCTACCACTTTTTTGGAGGGAGGGGGTCGGTCGTGGGGCCTGAACTCTGTGTCCTTCAGCATTTCAGCTCAAGGCTAGCTCTCTACCACGTGAGCAACAGCACCACTTCTGGTTTTCTGGTGGTTAATTGGAGATGAGTCTCACAGCTTTTCCTGCTCTGGCTGGCTTTGAACGGTGATCCTCAGATCTCAGCCTCCTAAGTAGCTAGGATTACAGGCCTGAGCCACTGGTACCGGGCTCACCTCTGTTTTTGTTGTTGTGTGTATGGTTAACTGGAGATGAGAGTCTTGTGGACATGCCTGCCTGGGCTGGCTCTGAACCGCAGTTCTCAGATCTCAGCCTCCTTAGTGGCTGGGATTACAGGTATGAGCCATTGGTGCCTGTATGAACCTGTTTGAATAACTAAAGCATTAAAGTACAAAGTATATAACCTGCCCAATTCATATTCAGTAAATGTTACTATTACATTTCTCAACAGTGATTTAATTTCATCAAAAGGAAAGTTTTAGCCAGGTGCTGGTGGCTCATACTTGTAATCTGGGATCTGAGGATTGAAGTTTAAAGCCAACCCATGCAGGGAAGTCTATGAGATTCTTTTTTCCAATTAACCATCAGAAAACAGGAAGTGGCACTGTGGCTCAAAGTGGTAGAGTGCTAGGGGAAGAACTCAGAGATAGTGTCCAGGCCGAGTTCAAACTCCATGACCTACCAAATAATAGTAATAATAATAATAAAAAGCAGAGATTTACCAAAGGGGAGAGAGACAGAATCCTGCCAGCTGGACAGCAGTGGCTCACACTTGTAACTGTAGCCACTCAGGAGGCTGAGATCTGAGGATAGTGGTTCAAAGTACCAAGTAGAAACACTCACAAGACTCCATCGCCAAAATCCACAAGTGGAGGTATTGCTCAAGTGGAGGAGTGCCAGCCATGAGCAAGAGTGTGAGACTTTGTATTTAAGCTCCAGTACTGGTGTGCCCAAGAGCATGTGCACACATGCACACTCATGCATGCGCGCACACACACGCACACACACACACACAGAGCTACCCATAACATTGTCTAATAATAGGTAACTTTATCTGCATTAATCTGTAATTTAAACAATATTTGTAACCAGCTGCAGTCTACCTAGTCACTATCAAAATGTGTCTAAAATGGTTTTAAAATAGATGATTCCTTTAAAATACTGATAATATAGAGGCTTGAAGAATAATAAGTTTTATGCCAAGAAATTAAAGGTTTAGTAAATGTCATTCAGTAAGACTCCATTTTAATGTCTACAAAATAGGTAACTTTTAACTCATATAATCTTCTACACAGTACATTTAAAACAGCTTAGGAAGTATTTTTAACTTATGTGCCTATTACTGAATTGGCTTTTGAATCAGTAGTCCTGTTCAGTGTTTAGATCCTTTTTATTAAGACTCTCAACACAGGAACCAAGATGGTTAGTAGACTGCTGTCAAATTTTACCTGGGAAGAGACAAAGACGATGCCAACAAAGACTCTCTAATGAACTTTTCAGCCTGGCTCAGTTGGATTCTGAAGAGGAAACTAGTTCCATTTCCTACATTTGCCTTTGAAGACAAACTAAAAAACTTTCCAAAACTATGGGATTAAACAAGAGGATATTTTTTCACAGAGTCAATATCACCCAAACATATATAAACATACACAAACATATTGAACATACTCAATCACAGTTAATTTATACTTGCCATAAAATCAAATGCCAAGATGAATGAAACTATTTTTGCCTTTAAAAATTCTCAGTTTGAAGCCTCGCATCAGTGTCTCTCACTTGTAATCCTATGTATTTGGGAAACTGATAATAGGAAGATCACAGTTCAAGGTCAGCCCAGGAAGAGGTTCACATGACCTCTTCTTGTTTTACAGCTGGGCAGAGTGGTGAATGCCTATCCTAAATTAGGTGGGATGCTGAGATTGAAAGGATTTTGGTACCTTGCCAGCTTGGGTGGAAAAGTGAGAGATTTCTCCATGGAAGAAAGCTATATACGCTGTAGCTCACATCTGTGATCACACTGATGACCGGAAACCTAAAGGAGGCGGATAGCAGCTCAGTCATGTCCCCAGCAGGAGGTGAGACCCTATCCTACAAATAATGTGAATGGCCAAGGCTGGATGTGTAGCTCAGTAGGACTGTATGTCAGCTTATTAAGTATGAAGCCCTGAGTTCAAACCCTAAGACAAATCAAAACTTCTGAATCTTACGAGTAAAGTTTAAGTAAGCATTGATTCATAGCTGAAACTAAAGACAGAGAAATAGACAAATATGCTTGAGATGAAAATGCAGGTAAAATGAAACCGTGGCATAATTCTTGTCTTGGGATTCAGCTTATTCGGACCTCAAATTTGCCCATTATCAGCAACATAAATAATCTTAAAATTTAATTACCCAAAATGTCTTATTTCATAGAGATTTTAAGAAGCTTTTGTGAAAACACAGACACGGCATCACATGTACCACAGTGCTTATAACTCGGAAGCTCAATGCATCCTATTTTCAAAAAAGTAAAATGACTATCCAATATAACTTTTTTTGTTGCTGTTGTTGGTTGTGGGTTTTGAACTCTAGGCCTGGGCGCTGTCTCTCAGCTCTTCAGCTCAAGGCTAGCACTCTACCACTTGAGCCACAGCACCACTTCCAGTTTTCTGGTGGTTAATTGGAGATAAGAGTCTCACGAACTTTCTTGCCAGGGCTGGCTTTGAACCATGATCCTCAGATCTCAGCCTACTGAGTACTAGGATTACAGGGTGAGCCACTGGTACGGGGCCAATATAACTTTTATGAATAAAATTAGCTCAGTTTTATTCATTATCATAATAAGGCTGAATTATAGACTGAAGCAGTGAGGCTTACAAGAAAGAAAAATCTGGGGCTGAGAAGGTGGCTCAGTGGTAGAGTGCTTGCTTTGCATGCATGAGGCTCCAGGTTCAATTCCTCAGCACCACATAAGCAGAGAAAGCTGGAAGTGGCGCTGTGGCTCAAGTGGTAGAGCACTAGCCTTGAGCTCAAGAGCTGAGGGACAGTGCCCAGGCCCAGAGTTCAGGCTCCACCACTGGCAAAAAAAAAAAAAATTAGAAAAAAAGAAAAATCTTTTAGACCAGCAAGACTCAAATGCAAATTAGGGCTCCAGTTCTTTTTTTTTTTGGCCAGTCATAGGGCTTGAACTCAGGGCCTAGGCACTGTCCCTGAGCTGCTTTTGCATAACACTAGTGTTCTACCACTTGAGCCACAGCACCACTTTCAGCTTTTTCTGTTTATGTGGTACTGAGGAATCAAACCCAGGGCTTCATGTACTACCACTAAGCCACATTCCCAGCCCCATGGCTCCCGTTCTTATAAGCAGCTGCCTTACCTTATATAAGTTGTTTTATCACCACAGATCAATTTTCACACAAAGTTGTAAAGTCTAAATGTTAGGGATATAAACTCTTCAACATGACTGGTACTCTACAAGGGTTAGGTTCATTCTTCAAAATCAATAAATAAATGCACTTTCCAGCTATACTTAAGACCTAAGCTTTGGCATGCAAATTCCAGTGCAAACTTGAGTTTTTTCCCCAAGGGTGTGGAAGGGAGACTAAATCTCTCTCATCTGGCTCTCTCCTGGGCTCCGAATTCCCAGGGATGGCACAGCAGACACTGGGCTGCTAGACTCCCACACTAGCCACCTAGACCCACAGCACTTCACACCCATTCTCTAAGCATATCAGCCCCACACAGTATTTTCTACTAAAGTACACAGAGTCCCTAATGTTTCTAAACAAGAACCCAAGTAGCATATTTTTGTAAAACAAATAAAATTTGTATCAATACAGTAAAATGATTTTAATATCTTTTCCTCCATGACTGAATATACAAAGATAATGGAAGTAGTGTATTCTTCTGCTGTAAAGATGGGTGGAATATGTCAAAATCAACTTGCTGAATTTTCTTTAAATAATCCTCTAGAGAAACCTGAAAAAGAGAACACTGGTCACTAGATCTAAAATGGTCAAGTCTTTCAGCCAAAGTTAAAAAAAAAAAAAGTGCAAGCAGGACATGGTGGTGCTCATCTGTAATTCTAGCACTCAAGAGATTAAGACAGGAGGATGGCAAATTCCAGGCCAGCCTTGAGCAAACATCAAAGAAACATACACATGAAAATAGGGTAAGTATTATGACTATCTTAGTTTCCTGAGATGATCTTCTATACAATAAAGATATTAAAAAATATAAATAAAATTGGCTCCCCCAAATTTTCTATTAGACTAATAGGAGCACCACAAAGCCAGAACTAGAACTACAATAGTGTTCTGAAAAGAAATAGTAATGTTCTGGTCAAGAAGTAAGGATTAGAGACAATATCTCTTTTTTTTTGGGGGTCCGATTGCGGGGCCTGAACTCCAGGCCTGGGCACTGACCTTCAGCTATTCAGCTCAAGGCACTCTACCACTTGAGCCACAGCGCCACTTCCAGCTTTTTTCTTTTTGCTTATGTGGTGCTGAGGAATTGAACCCAGGACCTCATGCATGCAAGGCAAGCACTCTACCACTGAGCCACCTTCCTAGACTCACAATATCTTTGCATACTAGATTCTGTGGACTTAAAAAAAGGATGTTCACCAAGTTCAGAGAGACAAACAGTACATGTTTTCTCTCATATGCAGAAGTTAGAGATAAAATACCCTGGGACATATGATAAATCATATACTCTAGGCATTCACACAGAGTGAGACCAAAGAAGGATACTCATAGTGGAGGAACACAAAGGCCTGATGCCTATGTGCCTCTTATTTATTGAAAAGAGCTCCAGGAAATGGAAACCAGGTTTGTTTGTGTTTTCTTTTCTTTTTGTCTTGTTTAACTGTTGTTGGGGGGAAGGACAAGGGAGAAACAGAAATGGAGGGACAAAGGGTATACAAATGCAGCAGTGGTACTCATTAGATATTATGGTGAAAATGAACTTACAACTTGTGGGTGGGGACAGAGAGGAGAAACTGGGAGACAGTGAAGAGAGGGGTTACACTGTCCAAAAGTTAATGTACTCATTACCTGACTTACGTATCTGTAACCCCTCTGTACATCACCTTTATAATAACAACAAAATATTTTTTAAAAAGGATGCTCAGGATGTAGTCTAACGGTAGAGTAATTGGCAGACTTGAAGATAAAGATTCCTTTTTGCTTTTGCAACAAGATCTTGGTGCATAAACCAGGCTGGCCTTAACTCATGTTTCTCCCACTTTAGCCTTCTGTGTGCTAGGATTACTGGCATGTGTAACCTTGCTCAGCAAAAAAAGGAATGTTTTAATTTAGGAAAATGAGAGAGCCCTACCTACTCTGTTCCATGAAGTGTCCCATGAGTAAGCTCAGTTATCTTTAAAAACAAAATTACTTTGTGAAAAGTTTAACGAGTTCATCTACCTGATATCTATCCTCCTTTTCATCAAAGAAAAAAAAATTACAAGTCCCATAAATGTCATTTCATGCTTTCCCCATCACATAAACTTGACAAAGGAGACTGACGCAGGATGAACAGCCCTAATAGTGAGTAATTTTTTTAAAAAATTTGTTATTTTATGTATTTGTTTTGTAATTAAACAAGAGCTTACTTAGCACTATGAAATTCTGAAGTGTACTCTCTTTCCAGGCCATATACACATTGCCTCCTAGGGTTCTACAGCACAAAACCTTAAGATTCAACAAAAAGATTATGCCGCGTACTTTTTTTTTTTTCCTGGTGCCGATACTGGGGCTTGAACTCAGGGCTTCAACCTTCTTGTGAAGCTTAAGGGCTCACACTCTATAAGCCACATCTCTAGTCCTAGCATTTTGCTCATTCATTAGTGATAAGAGTCTCTAGGAGGAAGTGGCGCTGTAGCTCAAGTGGTAGAGCGCTTGCCTTGAGCTGAAGAGCTGAGGGACAGCGCCCAGGCCCAGAGTTCAGGGCCCACGACTGACACACACACACACAAAAAAGAGTCTCTAGGAGCTGTGTGCCCTGGCTGGCTTCACTGTGATCCTCAGATTTCAGCCTCCTGACTAGAAAATGCACAGTTGCCTTGTTTTATTGTAAGGCTTGGAGACAACCCAAAAATTATTTGACCAAAAGATGATAGGTCAGCTCATGATAGAATGGTAGCTCATACCTGTTTCAAACAAAATAAACAGCAATCACCACCAAACCAAGACATTATTGTTTTGGTCTGAGGAGAGGTACAGTATATTTTGCTTTTTTTGGTTAGCAATTTCCCAAGTGATTCAAATGGGCAGCTAAGACTGACAACAATCTTTTCCACACTAGTATAAAAAAAAACAAAATCCCAATACAAAACAATAACAAAAGACCCAGAGTCCTTAAACTTTATGAAGCTAAGTATGTTAAACAGCTGATGGTCATCCACTTATATTAAAAAGGCTGTAAGGGGCTGGGAAGGTGGCTCAGTGGTAGAGCACTTGCCTTACATGCCTGAGGCCCTGGGTTTGATTCCTCAGCATCACATAAGCAAAAAGAAAAAAGCCGGAAGTGGCGCTGTGGCTCAAGTGGTAAAGCGCTCGCCTTGAGCTGAAGAGCTGAGGGACAGTGCCCAGGCCCAGAGTTCAGGCCCCACGACCGGACCCCCCCCAAAAAAAAAAAGGCTGTGAAAAGGATGATATATAACAGTATTTGTTGGGATATATAAAAATACATATACACATAAATACATTTATTAAAAATAGGTATGCGCTCTCTCTCTCTCCCCATATAAGGCCCAGAGAGATGAAGACATTATTTCTAGATAGGGCAGAACTGTGAAGGCTCTAATTTCTTCTTTTACATTCTATTATGTTAACATTCAAAATATTCACTTTTTTATTGTTTATGCCAGTCCTGGGGCTTGATCCAGGGCCTGGACTCTGTGCCTGATTTTCTTTTTGCTCAAGGCTTGTTCAAACACTTGAGTGCTTTTTCTCTTTTTGGGGGTAGTTTAGGAGAGAGAAAGTCTCTCAGACTTTCCTGCCCCAGCTGGCTTTGAACCAAACATACAGTTCTAAAAACCAGGAAAGAAGGTGAGAAGGGACAGACAGAAATGATTCTTTAGGAAATGATAGAAGACATCTTTAGTATTACCTAGAACATGATTTTATAGTTTTAAAGGATGTTTGAAATCCAGTTAATGAAGTAAACCATACCCAGGAAGAATAGGTATAAAGTATGGAACGACCTAGTTGAGAGCCTATCCTACACTGGGTACTGAGCATTGACTATTTCTGTATATATTTTGTTTTTTGTTGTGCTGAGAATCACTGAGCCATAACTCCAATCTACGTATTTTAGAATAGTTCCCTAAACTGATTACATATCAGAATACTTTGAGGAACCTTTTTTGTTAGTTGTGGAGCTTGAACTTGCAACCCGGGCACTGTCCTTGAGCTCTTTTGCTCAAGGCTAGTACTCTACCATTTTGAGCCACAGCATCAAAGTGGTTAACTGGAGTTTCACGGACTTTTCTGCCTAGGCTGGCTTTGAACCATGATCCTAAGATTTCTGCCCCCTGAGTAGCGAGGATTACAGGTGTGAGCCATCAATGCCTAGCTTTTGAAGAACTTTTAAAAATCACGTTTTTTTTTTTTTTGTCAGTCATGAGGCTTGAACTCTGGGCCTGGGAGCTGTCCCTCAGCTCTTCAGCTCAAGGCTAGTGCTCTACCACTAGAGCCACAGTGACACTTCCGATTTTTTGGTGATTTATTGGAGATAAGAGTCTCAAGGTCTTTCCTGCTTGGGCTGGCTTTGAACGATGATCTCAGCCTCCTGAGTTGCTAGGATTACAGGCGTGAGCCACTGGCTCCTGGCTTAAAATCACATATTTTTTTTTTTTTTGGGGTCCGGTCGTGGGGCCTGAACTCTGGGCTTGGCCACTGTCCCTCAGCTCTTCAGCTCAAGGCTAGCGCTCTACCACTTGAGCCACAGCGCCACTTCCGGCTTTTT